TAGTGATACTCCAGGTGTAAGTGTGAGTGGATAGTGATACTCCAGGTATGAGTGTGAAGTGGATAGTGATACTCCAGGTATGAGTGTGGAGTGGATAGTGATGCTCCAGGTACAACTGAGTGTGGATAGTGATACTCCAGGTGTGAGTGGATAGTGATACTCCAGGTGTGAGTGTGAGTGTGAGTGTGGATAGTGATACTCCAGGTGTGAGCTTCTTGTTCCTCTGCAGTAACCCATCTTTGTCTCTGATGTCCCCAGGTCAGATGTTGTGGTCCTGTGTTTCTCGTTGGCCAACCCAGCCTCACTGCGGCATGTGAAGACCATGTGGTTTCCTGAAATACGGCACTTCTGTCCCCGCACACCCATTATCCTTGTTGGCTGCCAGCTGGATTTGCGTTTTACTGACCTTGATGCAGTGAATAGAGCTCGGAGGCCTCTGGTCAAGTGAGTCTTTGCAAGTTGTTCTTGGAATGACCATAAAACCATAATTTAAGGAGCAGAATTAGGCTGGTCAGCCCATCCAGTCTTCTCTGCATTTGGTCATGTTTGATATGTTTCTCAATTCCATTGTCCTGCCTTATCTCTGTAACTCTTAATCCCCTTACCAATCAAGAACCTACCTATCTCTGTCTGAAATACACTCAATGACTCAGTCTCCACAGCCCTCTGTAGCAATGATTTCCACAGATTCCCCCCACTCTGGCTGATCACATTCCTCCCCATCTCAGTATATGGTGACTCTGGCCAGGCCACCATTTATTGATGGTCCTAGTGATCCCTCAGAAGTTGGTGGGAAGCTGGCTTTGTCGAACCCTTGCTGTCCTAATGTTGGGACAGCCTCAGGGTTTAATTCTGCACCAGCTCTGAAATGCCTGAGCTTGTGATGAGTTTTTCAGAGGCAGTGACAAGTCAGTGATATTGTTGTGGGTCTCGCAGCATATGGAGTTCACACTTGGTAAGGACAAATATTAAAACCAACAAAGGAGCCGACTCATTCCCTTGATGCTGCTCCGTTTACAAGAATCTCCATGTAACGAGAATCTCAGCCTTTAAAATGTTCAAGGACTCTCATTCTACCACCTTTCCAGGTAGGGAGTTGCAAAGACTCATAATGTCTAGTTCCGGACTTATCCACAAGATGGAACATTCCTTCCATATCCACCTTGTCAAGACCATTCAGGATCTGTAATGGCTTGGGTGGAAGGAGTACAATGGAAATCAAATCCCACTATCCTCAAGTTGTACTCACACTTTAGATGTCTTATAAAATGACAGAGAATGGTCAGTTTTGAAATAGCTCCACAGAGGCCAGTGTCCCGTCACCAAGTCACCCTTTATTTACATATGCATAGTACCTGACACTGATCCATCTCTCTCACAGTCAGCTCTCAGAGTGAACAGAACCTCTGAGACGCTCGTTTATGTCAGTCATCCAGGGCTCCCTCATTGGCCCAGGTTAACAGCCACAATCAGGAAACTCATAAGGTCCACCTGGCTGACCTCATTACAGTCACTACATCCCTCCCCCTCTAAGTCCGCGGAGTAGGCCTGTTCTTTTTCTCATAGCATCTCCTGGGGTGTTTGCGCACTGGGTCCGGTTCCTCTGACTGAGCCTCGGATACGGGCATCATGTACCAGACTGTGGCCTGCCCCTTGCATCCGGAGCATCTTGGAAGAAATTCAGCTTCTTCTTCAGGTGGCAAAGGCGTCAAGGCTGCGACAACCACTATGTCCATCTCAGACTCCTAATTGCTTTCTTGCTTTCAAACTCAGAGGTTTCTTTGACGCTAGACAGAAGGCAAGAGCCATGGGTTCTGACAGCTATCCTGAGGGGCTGGGTATGTTTTGCTCCTGTTCTGTTTGCGAGTTTGCAGCTTTCATGTTGTTCACATGCTTGTTCAGGACTGCGTCACCTACCCGAACTTTGTACGTCTCAGGACCTGACCTTGCATCGACCATACCTCTTACCCATTCACCCTTGGTCTTGGCATCAAACTTTGATCCCGAAGTAAACTGCCCCTCTCGCCTAGTCTCACTAGTGGGCAGCGCGGTGGCTCAGTGGTTAGCACTGCTGCCTCACAGCACTAGAGACCCGGGTTTGATTCCACCCTCGGGTGACTGTCTGTGAGGAGTTTGCACATTCTCCCCGTGTCTGCGTGGGTTCCCTCCGGGTGCTCCAGTTTCCTCCCACAGTCCAAAGATGTGCAGGTTAGGTGGATTGGCCAGGCTAAATTGCCCATAGTGTTCAGGGATGTGTAGATTAGGTGCGTTGTGAGGAATGGGTCTGGGTGGGATGCTCTGAGGGTCATTGTGGACTTGTTGGGCCAAATGGCCTGTTTCCACACTGTAGGGATTCTATGATCTATGATCTTGGAGGAGACAAGTGTCTGCCATTGGCATTCCTGATGCCATTTCACCCTCCCCCTTCAGGTCTGGGAATATCAGATTTAACCTGGTGCAGAGTCTTCTCCCCATTAGCAACTCTGCTGGAGCTATCTCTGTAGTTGCATGAGGAGTAATCCTGTAATCAAACAGGGAACCAGGACAGTTTGATATTGAGTGAATCTGTAGGCCGTTTCTTTAAACCTACCTAGAAAGTTTGGACTGCTCTTTCTGGGAGACCATTGGATGATGGATGGTACAGAACTGTCTTTATGCTGAATGCCATTCAGCTTTAGAAAATACTCGAATTCCCGGCTCGTAAATGATGGCCCATTGTCTGTGACCAGTGCTTCCATTGCTTCCTGGTCAACCTGTAAAGTGGCGTTGGCTCCTTTTATAGTCCCTAGACATCCTGAAAAGCTTCCAGATATTTAATTAAAGACTGTTTCGGCAATCACTATTAAACCCACACCGATATCGACCTCCATTAGAACCGGATGACCATTTAACCAGATGTTCATTTTGATTGGTTCTGATTTGCATGTTGCTAAACAATTTAACTGTTCCAAGCCAGATGTCGATGAATTTTTCAGGGTGTAAACTTTCCTGGATACTGGCCTATGAATTCTCTTACTTAATCCAGGCCTTGTGGGATTCTTTTGCTGTCTCGAGTCTGCCTACTGGCAGCAAGTACAATGACTTGCCAGCCCATATGTGAGGAAAATGTAAACTATTTAGCCGAGGCTTGGCTTTCTTTTGGGGTTTTGCTGTGGGCTGACCTCGAGCCCCTCAGCTATGTCCTGAGTGAAGCTATGCAATTGCCTTCACTCAAGTGATATCCCCTAAGCTCAGTCAGCTTGGCAAGAGTGTCCCCTTCCATCGGCATATCCTGTAACTCATATGCTCCACTTGCCACATTTTCTAATGACAAAGCCAGTTTTAGTGCCTATTTGAAGTCCATTTGGGCTTCAGCTATTAGGCACTTTTCCATGGTTATACCATTAATCCCACATACCAAACAGTCTGTCAGCATTCCATTAGGGTTAAACCAAAGTCACATGCCTCTGCCTTAACCTAGTCAAAAATCTTGATGCATATTCCCCTGGCTCTTGAAATGCTGAGTAAAACTGAGAACCTGCTGTTGAAGACTGGGCCCACCAGTACGTGGAAAAAATGTGTTATTTTTTTCGGGGCAAATGATATTGGGGCAGGTAAAAAGCAATGAATAATTCTCCTGTCAGCATGTAGATCTGCAGTTTTTTCAGTTACTAGAGGAGGGTGGGATCATAATATTCCTTCACTAAATCTGTCAGCTCTTGAAAGATTTTAGTATCTGGTGCCTCAGGGAAAGTTAGGCTCCTAATAACTGAAAAAGCTGCGGATCCACAAGCGAACAGGTGAATTACTCATAGCTTTTCATCTGCCCCAATATTATTTGTCTGGAAAACATAACACATTCTTTCCACAGGAAACTTTTTTTTTCTGTATTCGTTCACTGGACGAGGGCATTGCTGGCCAGGGCAGCATTTATTGCCTATCCCTAATTGCCCAGAGGGCTGTTAAGGGTCAACCACAGTGCTGTGGGTCTGGAGTCACATGTAGGCCAGACCAGGTAAGGATGGCAGTTTCCTTCCCTAAAGGACATTAGTGAACCAGATGGGTTTTTTCTAACAATTGGCAGTGGATTCATGGTCATCATTAGATTCTTAATTCCAGATATTTATTGAATTCAAATTCCACCATCTGCTGTGGCAGGATTCGAACCCGGGTCGCCAGAACATTATCTGGGTTTCTGGATTAACAGTCCAATGATAATACCAATAGGCCATTGCCTCCCCATTAAGGGGAGGAACACAGCAGGTCAGGCAGCATCGGAGGAGCAGGAAAGTTGACATTTCGGGTCGGGACCCTTCTTCAGAAATAGGGAGGGGAAAGGGAGCTCAGAAATAAATAGAGAGGAGGGGTGGGGATGGGGAAGGCAGGTGGGATGGTGATAGGTAAGTACAGGGAGGCAGTGGTGGGGATTGGTCAGTGAGGTGGGAGGGGCGGATAGGTGGGAGAGAAGATGGACAGGTTGTGTCAGATCGAGGAGGCGGGGATGAGAGGGAGGGTTGGACATGGGATCAGGCCGGGTGTGGGGAGTATTTAAAACTGGTAAAATCCACATTTAGGTCATCGGGCTGTAGGCTCCCGAGGTAGAATATGAGGTGCTGCTCCTCTAGTTTGCGGGTGTTATTGTGACACTGGAGGAGGTCCAGGATGGACATGTCACCCAGGGGGTGGGAAGGGGAATGGTTCACGACTGGGAGGTGTTGCTGTTTGTCGTGAGCAGAGCACAGGTGCCTCCACAAAGCGGTCTCCGAGCCTCCACTTGGTCTCCCTGATTGTAGAGGAGGTGGCCTAAACATGGAATTCACCAGTTTTAAAATCTCCCCACCCCCAACCTCATCCCATGACCAACCCTCCCTCTCATCCCCACCTCCTCGACCTGACACAACTTGTTCATTTTCTCTCCCACCTATCCGTCCCTCCCACCTCACTGACCAATCCCCACCACTGCCTCCCTGTACTTAACTATCACCATCCCACCTGCCTTCCCCATCCCCATCCCTCCTCTCTCTATTTATTTCTGAGCTCCCTTTCCCCTCCCCATTGAAACAAATCCTGAAGAAGGGTCCTGCCCCGAAACGTCAGCTTTCCTGCTCCTCTGATGCTGCCTGACCTGCTGTGTTCCTCCAGCTCCATACTGTATTGTCACATTCTTTCCACATACTGGGCCCAGTCTTTGACAGCAGGATCAGACGAGTCAAGCTTCCCAAATAGCGGCACGATGCCAGCAATGCTTACCCCAGCTGCAAGATGACTGTTGTGAACAAATTTCTTCAGGACCAGAGATAGTAGGAACTGCAGATGTTGGAGGATCTGAGATAACATGGTGTAGAACTGGAGGAACACAGCAGGCCAAGCAGCATCAGAGGAGCAGAAACGCTGACGTTTCGGGTCTAGACCTTTCTTCAGAAATTCTGCTGCTTGGCCTGCTGTGTTCATCCAGCTCCCAACCTTCTTATCTCTTTCTTCAGGACCATATTTTTTTCACTTGTCACTAACTGACATAACTCCACAAAGGCCTGTATCCCATCACTAAGTTGCCCTTTATTTACCAGAGCATAGTGCTTGACACTGATTCAGCTTCCTCAGAGCCAGCTGTCAGAATGAACAGGATGTCTGACACTCCTGTTTATAGCTGTCAGCCAGGGCTCCCTGATTGGACCAGATTAACAACCCCAACCAGAGAACTCATATTCTATGAGGTCCACCTGGCGGACCTTGTTACAACCAAGTTTGTTTTTGTATATTAAATAGAACATAAGAAACTGTCACCAGGTGTGTTGGTAAACTGAAAATTAAGATGGTTATCATAGGCAAACATATTTAAAGAAAAAGCAAATTGATTACTCACTAAGCTGCCAAACACACACGCCCACAGAAGCAAATTCAAGATTGCATAATTGGAATTTGGGATAAATTGTAAACTGTGAGGGGCACAGTGTGGAACTGCAAAAGGTCATTGACAGGTTGGTGGAGTGGGGGGTGGTTCTGGGCAGATGATGTTTAATACACAGGAGTGTGAGGTGATGCACTTTGATTGGAAGAACATTGAAAGACAATATAAAGTAGGGGTTAGATTTCTAAAGGTAGGGGTACAGGAGCAGAGGGAGCTGGGTGTTTATGTGCACAGAGCACTGAAGGTGGCAGGACAGAGAGAGTGAACAACTTGTAAAACATACAGCATCCTTAACCTTATTAATAGGGGCATAGGGTACAAGAGCAAAGAGGTGATGTTGAAATTGTACAAGACACTTGTTAGACCTCAGCTGGAGTACTGTGTACAGTTCTGGGTGCTATGTTATAGGAAAGATGTGAATGTGTTGAAGAGAGTGCGGAAGTAAATTGCAAGAATTTACAAGTTTCAGGAATGAGAAACTTCAGTGATGAGGATAGATTGAAGAAGATGGAGCTGTTTTCCTTGCAGAGAAAAGTGCTGAGAATAGATTTGTTAGAGTGTTTCAACATCATCAGCAGGCTGTAAAAAGTAGATCCGGAGAAACTGTTGTATGTTTAAACAGATTGAGAAGCAGAGAGCTCGATTTTTAAAGCGATTTGCAAAAGAAACAAATGTGATATGATGTAAACCTTTTTCACTGAGTGATTTGTTAGTGTGCACTGCCTGGAAATGTGGTGGAGCCAGGTTCCATTGAAGTATTCAAGAGGGTATTGGATGGGTGTTTAAACAGAGACATTGGGCAGTGTTACAGGGAAAAGACAGGAGATTGGCAGCACTGAGAGAGCCAGTGCTGACGTAATGGGCCAAATGGCCTCCCTCTGCACTGTGATAATTTTGTGATTCAGTGAAATGAGTTAATTACAAACAATTCATAAAGTTGTCAAGTGATATTTACTCTTTCATTAAACATGCATCCTTTCCTGCCATCTCTATTGCAGGATTTCTCCCATTTTAACAATCTGTTTGATTTTGTTTCTGAACCATCTTTGGATTGATTCTCACAGGTTCACAGGAATTGTCCACCTGCAATGCCTCCAACCCATCAAAGAATAAATTCAAACTAGGCCATTCAGCCCATCAGGCCTCCTGCACTATCCAACAAGTTGCTTAGATTGTGGCCAGTACTGCACATTCCTGTCTAACACCCAGTAGTCTTGCCTGCCTCATTGATCAAAAACCCGAACTCATTCAATGTCACAGCCTCCACTGTTTACAGTGGAAGACAATTCCAAAAATTAACTACCCTCAGCTCTGACAAAAATGAGAAACCCTCTCAGAAAGGTTGAATGGGAGACCCTGCCAGAATGGTTACATCTGCATATACTGGATGGTTACCTACTATTGCTTTATGTAGTTGAATGTTTAAGTAGCTGGCGAGATTGACCTCGCATTCTTGTTGGAATTAAGTGCTAATTTATCTCTTTAGACCCATCAAACCTACAGATATTCTCCCACCGGAGGATGGTCAACAGATTGCGCAGGAGCTTGGCATTCCTTACTATGAGACCAGTGTCGTTGCACAGTTTGGGATCAAAGATGTCTTTGACAATTCAATTCGGGCAGCACTCATTGCAAGACGCCATCTGCACTTCTGGAAGTCGCACCTTAAGAAAGTACAAAAACCTTTGCTTCAGGCTCCTTTCCTCCCTCCAAAACCTCCTCCAGTTGTCATAACCGTTCCAGATACTCTTTTAGTGAATGGAGAAACACCAACAACTCTCTTTTCAACTCCTCTTTGTCCTGATGTCATCTTCATTCTTCATGATGGGCGCCAGATCTTCGCTCACAGAGTGTACCTAGCTACTTGTTGTTCCAAATTCTATGACCTGTTCAGTACAGACTTAATGCAAAGTCCTTGTGTGGATGGAGGAAAAGGGGCAGAAAATAGAACACATGGAAAAGAGCAGGCAGGTAACACTAAAAACCTCAAAGTGGATGAGCTGTGTGGAGACAGTATTTTTGTGAAGAACCCACCAGTGTCACAGAAAACTTCAAAGTGCAGTGAGGCCGTGAACCTGCCCAACCATGAGAGAATGATACAAGTGGCCTTAAAGCATGGAAAGCAGCTCAGCAAGTGGGGAAGGGGCTTTCTGACTGTTCATCTGGATTATATAGAAGATCCAGTGACTCAAAGAGATCGATGTATGACTGTTGTTACCATGGACCACCTGATCCAGAAAGAACCGTTCCAGACTGTACTGGAATATCTCTACACGGGCTATTTGAATGAAAATCAGGTGGATCTGATAGAGGTTGCTGTCATTGCTGAGATCCTGGAAGTATTTGACTTGAGAATGATGGTTGCTAATGTGCTGAATAAGGAGAGTTTTATGAACCAGGAAATCACTAAAGCCTTCCATGTGCGACGTGCCAACAGGATTAAAGAGTTCCTCTTGAAGGGGAACTTTTCAGGTATTACTGGGGCCATGGGAAGTATTTGTGATATGAAAGTGCTCTCTGTTACTATAAACAAACCAGGGACAGTTGACAGTTCAGCAGTGACAGCATAGACAGCTCATGATCTCAGGTTGTTATGAAGCAGAACATGAAAATATTTAATAAAATATTCTTCCATGGGTTGTGCAGGTCGCTGGTGAGGCCTGCATTGGTTACCAATCCCTAAAAACCTCTCCTAGTGACTCTTCAGCCATTTCAGATGGTAGTTAGGAATCACTGACATCACTCTGGGTCTGGAGTTACATGTAGATCAGACCAGGTAAAGATGGCAGATTTCCTTCCCTGAAGGACATTAGTGAACCATATGGGTTTTAACAACATTTGATGATAGCTGCCCTGGCCATTATTACTAAGACAATGTATTTTCAATACCAGAACTGTTTAAATTCCACCAGCCCAATGATGGGATTCAATCCATGTTCACACATTATTAGCCTAGGCTCCTCGATTACCAGGCCAGTGTCATGAGCATTACACCACCATCTCCCTGGATAACCTAATGCTTACTAAACCCCAGGTAATTTATCTACCCTTTCCAGTTCCTCAGATTTCACATTATCATCTATCATCTCCACTTGATGAGTGTAAGCAGGGAGTGGGAACCAGAACAATGGGTCAGCATGTAAAGTGATTCAGAGGAAGATCAAAGTTAACTCAAGTAATTCCAATAGAAAGCACAGGCAAGGCCAGGTTAGTGAACACAGTGGGAACATGGTTTGAAGTGTATTTGTCTTAACACAAGGAGTATAACAGGTAAGGCAGATGAGCCAAGAGCCTGTATTAGTACATGGGATCGCAATGTTGTATAACAGAAACTTGGCTACAGAAGGGCAGGACTGGCAGCTCCGACATTTCATTGTTTAGATGTTTCAGGTGTGATAGAGAGGGGTGTAAAATGAGTGGGAGAGCTGCATGTCTGATAAGGAGAATGTCACAGCTATGCTAAGAGAGGACATATTGGAGGGCTCATCCAGTGGGTAGAACTCAGGAATAAGGAAGGTGCAATCATTGTAAAGACCAAAAGAACTGAGGATGCTGTAGATTAGAAACAAAAACAGACATTGCTGGAGTTCAGGAGGTCTGAGGAATGGTGACTGTACTGAAACAGAAACTTGTATTTTTCTTCATAAATGTTGTCAGACCTGCTGAGCTTTTCCAGCAACTTCTGTTTTCGTAAGAGATATTGAAAGTTTAATCAAAAAGAAAAAGGACGCCTATGTAAGGTTTAGGAACAAAATCAGAAATTGCTGGAAAACCTCAGCAGGTCTGGCAGCATCTGTGGAGAGAACACAGAGTTAACACTAGCTACCAATATCCCAATTGCAAATTCCCTCCGGGACTCGCTGATCCACTCTTCTTCACTTCCAACAGCCCCACACAACCTCACAGCACCTTCCCCTGCAACTGCCTCACTATCCAAGGCCCCAAACATACCTTCCACTTTACCTGCACTTCCCAGAATCTAGTCTACTGCATTCGCTGTTCACATTGTGGTTCCACTATATTGGGGTAACGAAGCATAGACTGGGCGACTGTTTTGTGGAACACCTACATTCTGTTTGCAGAAATGACCCTGAGCTTCCTGTTCCCTGCCACTTCAACACACCACTGTGTTCCCTGGCTACAGTCTCTCTTTCGGGTTTGGGTTCACTGCAGTGCTCCAGCAAAGCTCATTTCCAGCTTGAAGAAAAGCACCTCGTTTTCTGCTTGGGTACCCTGCACTTTCCAGACTGACTATCGAGTTCAATAATTTTAGGGCCTGAGCACCTTCTCCCATGTCCTTACCCCAACCCCCACACACACCAGGCCTTGTCATCAGGAACAAAAACAAAATTGCTGGAAAAGCTCAGCAGGTCTGGCAGCATCCGTAAAGGAAAAAACAGAGTTAATGCTTGGCGATGGTCAGCAAGGCTTTATACATGGGAAATCATATATCACTAACTTGATGGAGTTTTTTGAAAGAAGTGACAAAGAAAACTGATGAAGGCAGAGCAGTGTACATTGTCAATATGAACTTCAGTAAGGCATTCAACAAGGTTCCACACGGTAGACTTGTTAGTAAGGTTAGATCATAGGGAATCCAGGGAGAGCTAGCCATTTGGATACAAGATTGGCTTGAAGGTGGGAGACAGAGGGTGGTGGTGGAGGGTTGCTTTGTAGACTGGAGGCCTGTGACCGGTGGTGTCCCATAAGGGTTGGTGCTGAGTCCACTACTTTTTGTCATTTATATAGATGATTTGGATGTGAATATAGGAGGTATAGTTAGTAAGTTTGCAGATGACACCAAAATTGGAGGTATAGCGAAGAAGGTTACCTCAGAGTACAACAGGACCTTGATCAGATGGGCCAAGGAGTGGCAGATGGAGTTTAAGTTAGATAAATGTGGGGTGTTGCATTTTGGAAAGGCAAATCAGGGCAGGATGTATGCACTTAATCCTAGGCAACGTTGCTGAACAAAGAAACCTTGGAGTGCTGGTTCATACTTCCTTGGAAGTGGAGTTCCAGGTTGACAGGGGCCTGAAGAAGGTGTTTGATACAAAGAACAAAAAAGAACAAAGAAAATTACAGCACAGGAACAGGCCCTTCGGCCCTCCAAGCCTGCGCTGATCCAGATCCTCTATCTAAACCTGTTGCCTATTTTCCAAGGATCTGTATCCGTCTGCTCCCTGCCCATTCATGTATCTGTCTAGACACATCTTAAAAGCCCACCTCTACCACCTCCGCTGGCAACGCGTTCCAGGCACCCACCACCCTCTGCATAAAGAACTTTCCACGCATATCTCCCTTAAACATTTCCCCTCTCACCTTGAAATCGTGACCCCTAGTAATTGAGTCCCCCACTCTGGGAAAAAGCTTCTTGCTATCCACCCTGTCTATACCTGTCATGACTTTGTAGACCTCAATCAGGTCCCCCCTCAACCTCCATCTTTCTAATGTAAATAATCCTAATCTACTCAACCTCTCTTCATAGCTAGCGCCCTCCATACCAGGCAACATCCTGGTGAACCTCCTCTGCACCCTCTCCAAACCATCCACATCCTCTGGGTAATGTGGCGACCAGAACTGTATGCAGTATTCCAAATGTGGTCGAACGAAAGTCCTGTACAACTGTAACATGACCTGCCAACTCTTGTACTCAATACCCCGTCCGATGAATGAAAGCATGCCGTATGCCTTCTTGACCACTCTATCGACCTGCGTTGCCACCTTCAGGGTACGATGGACCTGAACACCCAGATCTCTCTGTGCATCAATTTTCCCCAGGGCTTTTCCATTTACGGTTGACTTCATTGGTCATTGCATTGAGTATAGGAGTTGGGAGGTTATGTTGTGGGTGTACAGGACATTGGTTAGGCCATTTTTGGAACACAGCATTCAATTCTGGTCTCCCTGCGACATAAAAGATGTTGTGAAGTTTGAAAGGGTTCAGAAAAGATTTACAAGGATGTTGCCAGGGTTGGAGGGTTTGAGCTACAGGGAGAGGCTGAATAGGCTGGGGCTATTTTCCCTGGAGGTTTATAAAATCATGAGGGGCATTGATAGGATGAATAGCCAAATATCTTTTCCTCATGGTAGGGGAGTCCAAGCCGAGAGGGCATAGGTTTAAGATGAGAGGGGAAGATTTAAAAGGGACCTAAGGGGCAACATTTTCATTCAGAGGGTGCTGTGTATGTGAAATGAGCTGCCAGAGGAATTGGTGGAGGCTGGTACAATTACAGTATTTAAAATGCATCTGGATGGGTACATGAATAGGAAGAGTTTAGAGGAATATGGGCCAAATGCTGGCAAACAGGACTGGGGCAGGCAATGACCTGATATTATCGCTGGACTGTTAAACCAGAGACCCAGATAATGTTCTTGGGACTTGGGTTCGAATCCCACCATGGCTGATGGTGGAATTTGAATTCAATAAATATCTGGAATTAAGAATCTAATGATGACCATGAATCCATTGTCGGTTGTTGGAAAAACCCATCTGGTTCATTAATGTCCTTGAAGAAAGGAAGTTTCTGTCCTTACCTGGTCTGGCCTACATGTGACTCCAGACCCACAGCAATGTGGTTGATTCTTAACTGCCTTCTGGGCAATTAGGGATGGGCAACAAATTTTGGCCAGCTAGTGACACCCACATCCTGTGAATAAGTAATAAAGAAAAGATTATTTAGAGTATCTGTTCATCATGGACAAGTTTGACCAAAGGATTCTGTTTCAGTGCTGTATGACTCTGTGTTGTGTTGTTACAGATATGTTTTATAGGTGTGTTACGGGCGTTATTTACAGATGTTGTGTTGTTACAGATATGTTTTATAGGTGTGTTACAGGTGTTATTTACAGAT